ACATGCACACTTAAAAGGACAGAAACCACCTTGCACTTGCTTTTCAGTCTGAATATCACCTTCTGGACACTTCCTATATGTAATTCTCACAAAACCATTAGGCGGCAGGTCCAAAACTTCAAAGTGTGCCGCTGTGCCCCATGGCTCCTTCTGGATGACCCAGGAAGCATAGGAGTCAGAGAGAACCCAGCTAGATGGGAGGGGTGGAGCAAAGTCCAATAACCTGAGTCAATCCACCTTAAGGTCCTGCCCAACCCACACTCCATCCTGGACAGGCTTCCCAGCTGTGGCTCCAGCTGAAAATGAACACACAGAGAGAAGCTAGAGCGCCAACGAACAGCCAGCAACTGCTTCAGTGCAGGACAGGCTGAGAACCGGTGCAGTCGAGTTATGGTACTTCAATCACTAAACCTGACAACGACCAGTGCTCCTGGGGGGTCAGGGGTCTACTGCCTTCCTCCAACACAGGGCTGGAAAGAGCCGGCGTGAAACCAGGGGCCCCTACTGCCTCACACCTGCGCAGGATCAGAACTAGGATGAGCTCTCCGGACAGTCTGGAGTAAACCACGCCTCACTCCCCACGACCCAGCCCAGCTCTGAGAAGGCAGCACCTACAGCAAAGCCAGGGTTCAAGTCCGGCGGTATCATTCGCTCTAACTGGCCCCTTTCTCAGCTTCTTCGTCCATCTTTACAAAGAAGCCAGAAAACAAATCAACCCATAGTAAGACTGTGACGATTCGATGAGAAAACCCTAGCAAGTGAGTCCCCAGAATAATTAGAATCCAAGAGCTTTGTTGCTGCTGCTCTGTACCACTGCTGGGCCCTACAGGTGGGCCTTGTCTTACTGCCAACTGAGGGTGGGGAAGGGGGACCAGAGGGGGACTGCCAGCTGCTAGAGCCATCAGCAGGCCATCTATCTCCTAGGTATTGGCTCTCAACTTGAAGGTAAAGTGGGATACCTGCCTGGATTTTATACCCATGCAGCCACCTGCCCCACAGGCGTTACTGTCTACCAGCCCGTGCCACTCAGCGGGCTCCTCCTCCTTCAATCCCAGCCCTGCCTGACTGGGGTGTCGGAGCACGTGGCCCCAGCCCTGGGGAGCCATTACGCTCCTGGAGCAGCGCGGCATGCAGGAAAGGGATTGTAGGTTTCAAACTTAAGCGCGCTGCAGAAACCTCTCCTGGCGTGCACCACCCTCCCCGCTCCGACCCAGCGGGCTTGCAGGGTTCAATGAACAGATGCCAGCGCCGGCAATGGAAGTTCCAGGCATAAGCATTTAACAAGAGTCCAGGGTGATTCGGCCACTGGTTGGCCGCGATTTCGTAGAGGATGGATCTGGGGCAACCTAAGTAGGGCCAAGCTCACTAAGCGGTTTCTTGGAAGAGCTTGCAGACCTCCGACCACCCACCCGGCCAGGAGACCCAGCGCTTTGCGTTTATGATTAGGGAACAGACGTGGGACCGTAAACTTTGCAAGAGAGACCCACATACAACAGGGAATAGACCTGAACCTAGAAGCAGCCTCAGGTACTCCTTTCCCAAAAAGCTTCCCCCACCTGGCCTCCCTAACCCACCCAGTTGGCTACGGCTGAGCTTTGTGCAAGTAAAGCGTGGCCCCGAAGCGCCTACAAGTCCCACAATGCAGCACCGACCCGGCATGGAGAACTACAGCTCCCGCGAGGCCACGCGCGCAGAGGTCCGCCTACTCCAAGAGGGCTGCAGAGTCACGTCCAGGCCTCGCTAGTAAACAGCGCCCGGACGCGGGCGGCGGGCAAGCGAGCTAGTGACTGCCAACGTGTGGGGGACCGCGGCTTCCCTGCTGGCAGCGCGGCCACTAAGGGTCCACGTACGGCCCGCAGCCCCAGGCGAGCACGCCCCCAACCCTGCTGCAGCCCTGTTCTCTGCAAACGCTCACACCACCCGGCTCCCCGCCCCCCCCCCAGCCTGGAGCCGCGGCATGGCTGCATTGTAGCTGTCCTCAGGCACGCCCCGGACCCCCAGAAAACCTCCTTAGAAGAGGGTTCCCAGAAAGCGCGAGGAAGCAGGGAAAGGAAGGAAGCCAAAGCGGGCGGGGGGGAGGAGGAAGCGCGGGGTGAAAGCCACCAGCAGCAAGCATGGCCGGGACTGCTGCAGCACCACGTGGGTCTGTTTGCAATTTACAAACGTCGCGACTCGCCCGCCTGCAGCGGACAAAAGTGGCCAGGGCCTTTCGGGGTCCCCATGTTCTGAGGGAAGAGAGTCCCCAAGCAGCGCGAGCAGGGAACACGAGACTGCAGCCGACCCAGTGGCTAAGAAAGGCGAGCGAGGTCGGAGGCGCGGGCCATGCGTGCGCACACGCGCACCCGCCCGGGCGGGCTGGCCGGGGGCTGCAATGGGAAGAAGGGGTTGGGGGGAGGAGCAGTACACACCTACAGAGCCCTCCTATCACTTCTTTCTCTGTTTTCCTGAAATGTTGCAAAGAGGGCACCTTCTGAGTGGGCACCATGAAATACTCCATAGCGATAGGCCCCCCTCCTCTGCACGAGCCAGGTCTCGCGGTCAGCCGGAGAATGCAAGATGGAAATCCGAATCAAAGGGCAGCGCCGGACGGAGGTGCAGAATCGGCCGGTCCCAGATGCTGGCGGCAGCAGCAGCGGCGAGGGGAGGGAGGCGGGCGGGAGGGGCGGGAGGGAGGTCTCTCCAGCCTGCCTCCCCGGGCGTGTGTATGTGTGTGTGTTTGCAGCTGATCAGATGTCTGTTTCAAGGCGGGAAACAGCTGGTGAAAACTCAGCACTCCCCCGGCCTCCTTCCGCGGAGTAAGGAATTGCATGTAAACAAAGGACTATTTGCAGCGCCCCCCCACGGGCGGCTGGATGCCGGGGCGAGAAGGGCGCAGGCTCCTTGCGACCGACTCCAACCTGGGTCTGCAGACCTAACCCAGGGATCAGGGGTTCCCGGTCGCCAGCTGGCTGTGAGGGACACGGTGTGAATGGAGTGAGCAGCGGCCCAGCTACATGCGCCACTATGGGTGATGAGGTCCATCAGCTGACAGGTTGGCAAGCGTAGCTAAAAAGGAAAAAAAAAAAAAAAAAAAAAAAGGCCAGCCACCGCGCGGGATCCCAGACTGTGCAGCCCAGGGTCCAGTGGGGACTGCCCAGCGCAGGGTCTGTGCGCACCGCTGCCCTGGGGGACGCGCGCTGGGCGGGGCTGCAGCGGCAAAGGGAAGGCTCCCTCGGGTGCGTGCTTCGGGCTTTCGGGCTTTTGCTTTTTCATGATTGCCACTGCACGAAGCTGAGCTGCTCTGGCGCTCTCCCTTTCGAGCCGACCTGGGCCCCCTGGAAACTTGCGTCATAGCCACCGCTTCCCACAAGTAACTTGGGGCTGATTCTGACCACCCGCCAGCCTCCTCCCTTGGTCTCTGCCTAGCTGGCTTCCCGGCCCGGACTCTGGCTGGAGCCTAGGAATTACAGAGTGCGAAGGGTACAAATGGCAAAGGCAGGTGTGCAGGACACCTCGGATGCTGGGGCTGCCCTAGGAAGGAAGACCCTAGGGGAAGGGAGGGAAGGGCGGAGGCAAGCCAAAACAGCAGCGGCCCCTGGGGGCAGGCTGCCAGCGCGGCCCGAAGATCCATTAGAGGTCTGGTGCTGGCTGCCAGGTCCTGTCCTGGCTCCTTCACTACCTTACTTTCCGGTTTCGCGCGCAGCGGGCTGCAGCTTCTCATTCATGCGGAAGGCGGGGTGGAACTTGCTCCACCGCCAGAGGGCGCGCTCTACTATTGGGGGGCGTGATGGTCTGGGGAGGGGAGGAGGAGACACTTTAGGGGTGAGCTTCCGTCCTCTAACACGCCCCCACCTTCCGGTCCCAGGCCCTCTCCAGGCTCCTGGAGGGCTTGGCCCCAGGCTCAGGAAACCCACGCCTGCCTTGGAATGTCCTTACTCCTGCTCAGCGCCTTTCCCAGCCCCATCCGCCTTCCAAGGTTCCACCCAAATCGCGCCTCTTAGTTGAAATACTTCTATTAATAACAATTGTTAGTTATTATTAGGAAACATTGTTATTCGATATTGCCAACATCCAGGACATGCCTAGTTAGTTGTGAGTGCGTGTTTGTCAGTCTTCAGGTAAACCTATTAAGCAATTTCTCTAACTTTAGATCTCAGATCAGTTAGCATTTAATTCCCCGGGAGACTTACAATGCAGCACATCCTAGCTGGCTGTGCAGTGCACACCTGTAATCCAGCATTCTAGCACTTGGAGACCAAAGATGGAAGATGTGCATCCAAGGTTAGCTGTAGAGATTGTCTCTAAAAGAGACAGAAGGGAAGGGAAGAAAACAGGAGTATAGGTGAAATAGCCCCAGGGTAAAGATGTTTGCTGTCAAGTTTGATGACCTGTGTTCCATTCCCAGAACCCCCATGGTACAAGGAGACAACCAGCTCCCACAAGTTGTCCCATGAACTTGACATGTGTGCCATGTCACAGATGTACATACATAAAAAATTAATTCAACGTGCCTGAACTGAGTCTACCAGGTTGATTGAAGTCCTCGGGGGAGGATTTGCCCTGGAGGAGGTGGGAATGGGGGGTAGGCTGGGGGTAAGGGGAGGGTGTGGGAGGGGGGAGAATAGGGGAACCCGTGGCTGATATGTAGAACTGAATGGTATTGTAAAATAAAATAAAAAAATAAAAAAAGGAAAAAAATTAATTCAAGAAAATTTAAAGGAAGGAAAGACTATGAAAAGGAGACATCTTTGAATCCTTGGGAAGCTCAATTTTTTTTTAATGTGTATGAATGTTTCACCTGTAATTACATCTGTGTACCAGGTGTGCACCTGGTGCCCTATGAGGCCAGAAAAGGGCATTGGAGCCCCTGGAACTGGAGTTGGAGATGGTTGTGAGCACCGTATGGGTGCTGGGAATTGAACCCAGATCCTCTGGAAGACCAGCCAGGGCTGACTGCTGAGTCGTCTCTGCAGCCCTTAGGTTTTTTTGGGGGGGTTGTTTGTTTTTGTTTGGGGGGCAGGTTTTTTTTCCACTTGGAAAATGTTAGCATTTAATTAATCTCCCTGGGTGGCTTAATTAACCTCCAACACCCTTGATCTTCTCTTCAGCTCATCTGCTGAAGCATTTGGCTTTCATGATGACAGGCTGCTTAGGGAGCTGTCCCTTCCCCAGAACTCTGGAGTAGCCCCAGTCCACAGCATCGATGATGACAGCAGCCCCAGTCTTGTTCTTTGCAGGGTTGACGCGTGTCTGCTCGCTGACCAGTGTCCACAATGTATCCAGGTTGACAGTCGGGCAGAAGCTCTGGTTCCTCTTGAAGTGGTAATGCCTCATACCAGCTTTCCCAAAGTACCCTGGATGGTATTTGAGAGGTTGACCCTGTGGTGATGCATTCCCGTGGCCTCGTGGGTGCTTGTGGTGTTTACCAGTGCAGCTGTGGCTCACGTAGTCCCGGAGTTCCCGGGTCTTCCTCGGTCTGGATGGCATGGCGGCGGCAGAAAGGAAAGCTGTTTATGTTTTTTTTTGAAACAGGGTCTCCTGTATTCCAGACTGACCTCAAACACTTCCTCCCAAGAGCTGGGATAATGGGTATGCACCACCCAAGACTTTTATATCCTACAACCACCTCCCACCCCTCTATAATCAGGGCCTTATTCAGACTTTCAAGTACTCTTCTGAAAATGTACCCCTCCTGTCACCCTTGCTTAGGTGTGACCTTGAGTTGGTCCAGGTTTGTCTCCCAGAGAAGAGGCAGTGTACTTTGGCCCCTTCCTTCCAAAAGAAAAGACATGATGGAGGGGACCCACAAAGACTCTAATTCTTGGAGTGCTTTGAGATGTCAGAATTTAAAGGCTGACATTCGGATGCTGGAGAGATGCCTTAGCAGTTAAGAGCATTTGCTGGTGTGCCAGAGGACCAGAGTTCTGTGCTAGCCCCTGTCTCAGCTGGCTCACAGCTACCTGTAACTCCACCTGGAGGAAATTGAATGCCCTCTTCTGGCCTCCTCAGGTGCCACACACATGTGCAGATGCACACATACATGTAATTAAAAATAAAAAATAGTGTCTGGAGTCGTGGTGGCTCACACTTTTAATCCCGGCATCACAGAAACAGAAGCAGGCTGATCTCTGTGAGTTTGAGGACAGCTTGAGTTATGTAACAAGTTCCAGGCCAGGCAGCCTTACATAGTGAGAATTTGCCTCAAAAAGTGGGGGGTTGGGGGGAAGTAGGTGCTGGAGAGATGGCTCAGTGGTTAGAGCACTGGCTGCTCCTCCAGAGGACCCAGATTTGATTGAGAGCACCCACATGGTGGCCCACAACCATCTATAACTCCAGTTCCAGGGGACCCAGTGCTCTCTTCTGGCCTCTTTGGGCACCAGGCACGCACGCACCTGGTACACAGACAAAACATTCATTTTTTTTTTTTTCAGGCAAAACATTCATTAAAAAAAAAAAAAAAAAAAAAAAACTTGAAAGACTGGCAATATGACTCAGCAGGTAAAAACATTTACTGTATAAACTTCACCACCTGATTTCAATCCCTGGACCCTATGGGGGATTTCTGCACATGCTCACACCACGGTTGGTGTATATGTGTATTCACATGCACACAATAATACCAATAGTAAGGTTTATAGGGCATAACAGTGCATGCCTTTAATACCAACACTCTGGAAACAGAGGCAGGTAGATCTCTGCAAGTTTGAGGCCAGCCTGGTCTACATAGTGAGATCCAGGGTAACAAAGTGAGACCCTGTTAAAAAACAAGAATAGGGCTGGGGAGATGGCTCAGAGCACTGGCTGCTCTTCCAGAGATACTGAGTTCAATTCCCAGCAACCTCATGGTGACTAACAACCATCTGTAATGAGATCTGGCGCTCTCTCCTGGCCTGCAGGTAGAACACTGTATACATAATAAAGATATCTTTAAAAAAAATAAAAACTGCAACCACACTTACTGTAGTGGCTTAGGCCTGAGATTTGAGCACTTGAGAAGATGAGGCAGAAAGACTGAGTTCGAGGCCAGTCTGTGGTACAGTGGGAGATCCTGTCTGAAAAATAGAATAAACAGCCGGGCGGTGGTGGCTCTCGACTTTAATCCCAGGACTCAGGAGGCAGAGGCAGGCAGATCTTTGTGAGTTCAAGGCCAGCCTAGTCTACAAAGTGAGTTCCAGGAAAGGCGCAAAGCTGCACAGAGAAACCCTGTCTCGAAAAGCCAAAAGAAAAGAAAGAGCCAAAAAGAAAAAAAAAAAAATAGAACAAACAAAAATCCTATTCCTGAGGAAGAGCTTCAGAGCTGCTACGGTTTTCTTCCCAATCTTTCTTTCTTTTCTCCGAACCCCCCTCCCCACCCTCCCCAAGCTAGGGTTTTTCTGTAGCTTTGGCTGTCCTGGAACTCACTCTGTAGCCCAGGCTGGCCTCAAACGCATAGAGATCCGCCTGCCTCTGCCTCCCGAAGGCTGGGATTACAGGTTTGCACCACCACTGCCTGGCATCCCAACACTTTTCTTATTGTTTAAATTATGTCTCTGTGTCTTTGAGGGGGGTATGTGTACATGTGTTCCGGTGCCAGCAGAGATCAGAGATGTCTTATCTCCTGGAGCTGGAGTTACAGATGGTTGTGACCCACAAAATGTGGACGCTGAGAACTGAACTTTGTCCTCTCCAAGAGCAGGGCATGCTCTTAACCGCTGAGTCATCTCTCTGGCTCCTGCACTTTTTCTTATTTTTATTTTGCAGTACTGGGACTTTGTACACACTAGTCAAGTACTTTGTTACTGAGTCACGTTCCCCAGCCCTACTGTATGTTTTAATCCCGGTGGAGGAGGGATAGATTTTTCCTGTTTCTAAACAGCTGCCCTAAATGTGTCTAGGGTACTGTTATTTTGAGTTCCTATTGCTACATAACAAATTTCCACAAGGCTAGTGGGTTAAAACTGTATCAGGTCCCAGGGCTGTGGTGGCGGCCTTTAATCCCAGCACTCGGGAGGCAGAGCCAGGTGGGTCTCTGTGTGTTTGAGGCCAGCCTGGTCTACAAAGCGAGTTCCAGGAAAGGTACAAAGCTACACAGAGAAACCCTGTCTCAAAAAACCAAAAAAAAAAAGTATCAGGTCTTGGGATGTACCTCAGGACAGTGCTCATCTAGCATGCATGAAGCCCTGGGTTTGATCTCTAGTACCACACAAACCAATGCCTTTTGTGCCAGCACTCCAAAGGTGGAGGCAGGAAAATCAGAAATTCAAGGTCATCCTTTTGCTTCAAGGCCTGTCTTAAAAAACAAATAAAACCCTCTACCCACATATCAATTATAATAAATGAGTAGCTGTGTGCCAGTGTTGTGTGGCTAAACTTTCCTGGGTAGACACAACACACATTTGCTCACCCCAGATAGGGAAGCCCACGACAGACCGAAGTGTGGATACCACCGAAGTCCAGTTTGGTGAACCAATGAGTGTTACTGGACTTACAGGAACATGGGTGAGGGGTACTTACAGAAACATAGGTGAGGGGTACTTACAGGAGCATGAGTGAGGGGTACTTACAGGAGCATGGGTGAGGGGTACTTACAGGAGCATGGGTGAGGGGTACTTACAGGAACGTGGATGAGGGGTACTTACAGGGATGTGGGTGAGGGGTACTTACAGGGGCGTGGGTGAGGGGTACTTACAGGGGC